GAGGCGCCCGAGCCCCTCCACAGGGTCTCCACGAGGTGGCACGAGCAAGCTGCCGTTGGGGGTCCGGGAACCTCTGACAGAGAAGGATGGTAATAGCTTCGTAGCATAATCTTCCTCCTTTTTTTGGAAGAGATTGTTAGCTAGTGTGGTTAACCTGTGCTTTTGCTCTGGGAAGCCCAGGTCTGAGCCTTAGCGAGGCAGGCGCTGAAGAGACCTAAGCAGGCAGGGGCAGTGTCCTCGGGCTGTGCAGAAAATGACCCCTGCTCTCTGTCACCCACTCTGGAAACATACCCTGTGGCACTTCGCAGTGTCCTCTGCAGGTTTTGCTCCATCCTCCCTGCGCTCCGTCACCCAGGGAAGGGGGACCAGGGTGACTAGGCGTGAGGCAACCCTTGTGGGCACCCTGCTCCTACCTGCCACTACAACATGCGTCCTAAAAAGGAGGGCAGAGCACAGGCTAAATTAGCCTCCTCCTTGGCATGGAACGATAGCCTTTTGAACAGAGGATAATAGAAATCCTTGGGGTTTTTTCTGTCAGGGTCTGAGTGTGTGGCACACGCTGCCCTTTGGGCTGAAAGGTACATTATTTGATTCTGCCCAGCATTGCTCAGCTCTTTCCTTGCACACAGATTGCTCTGTGGGGATGAGCTGCATGCTACAGAAAAGAGGAGGAAAAAAGGAAAGGGAAAAAAAAAGCTTGCTCTGCAATCTTTCTCCAGGTGGAAAATGAGGAAAGCTTCGTATACACTCAGACTTTGTCTAAAATGAGCCCCTTTACACCCATAAAGGCTTCAGAGGCATTTTGGGGTTTCTGCCCCTGTTTGTGCTGTACTACTTTCCCAGCAGCACTGTTATAAAGTGTTTCATCAGAAGCCAGTGTCTCTACATCAGAATGAGTTAGTGGCAATGGTGGGCTTTATTTTATTTTGGTTTATTTTTTTCCCTTCAAATCTTGTTGAGCTGTAGGAAAGCCTTCTCCTCCTTCCCTCCCCCCAAAAAAGGAAATGTCAAACAAAGTATGTAATATCAAATTAAACATGGCACTGAATATACTCTGGCAAGTCATGGTAGTAAATTCAAGTTCTGAACAACAACTAGATGGAAGAGCCCATGAACAGCAATGATTCGAAAAAATCCAGTACACAGATCTAGTTTAAGTCAAGGAAACTCTGAAAATGAGGCCCTAAGGATTATCCGTCTTCTCTCCTATAATAGATGCTTCTGAATTCTGCTTATTGAAAGAAATAAATTTTAATTTAGGCATTCCAACACTTGCAAAGTGTATGTATGACAGAGCTGAAACCAGGTGAGGAATGGTACATTGTTTGAAGGTCTCAGAGGATACTCTGAACTGCGGAGGTGAAGGTTTTTTAAAATTCCTGGCAGTGTCTGGAAAATCCACTGTAGTATTTGTAAGTTTAAATTATTTTGATGGTTAGAAATGTCTGCTTCCTTTGAACTGTTCTTTTCAGCTTAATTTAAAAATATATAGAAACCATGGGGAGGAAAATCAGCTTCTCTATGGTAAGATTAGATAAAGTGGCATTTATAACAGGCCCATGTCTGTGACCAAAGGTTCTGCGAGATTCGATTTTTAGCTTGGAGGTGTTCTCTTCCTGGTCCTCACTGCTCCCCCCTGCCAAAAAAAAAAAAAGGAAAGAAAAGGGAAAACCACAAGTCAATGAGAGCATGGGCTAAGAGCCGGCAGTAAAACCCCGAGTCTCTCTGGCAGCAGAGTGCAGTTCCCCTGCACAGCAGAGGATGGCCGTGTCGGGCAGCGCTGCACCTTTCTTGCTGTCCCTGCCACACCGCCCATCTCAGTACTGTATTCATGGCACAAACGGGATCGGTCCGTCCCTATGTACGCCGGCCAGCAAGGAGTCACATTATTTGTGACAGACACCTCTGCCCAGCCCGCTCAGGATAGTGGCCGAGTGCTGCTGAGCATCCCCACCACTGCCCCAGGTCACCTCCCTCTCCTGAAATTTATAGGAAACAAAGCGTGGTCCCTGGCTTCCTCCAACTCCGCAGATTTTCAATCAAATTGCAGCTGTCATGGTTTGCATTTGTTGTGGTCCTTTTCCTCAGATAAATTAAGCTCTAAATCCCACACCCCAAGGCGTGCACAATTTGAGCTGTTTGTTACTCAGTGCAAATATGAAAATGGCTGAAGTATAGCTCTGTGTGTGTATGCACACACACAGAGGCAAACAAATATATTCATAATAAAAAACACATAGAAGTAGGCAGGGTTTAGCTGAAAAGATCTGCTGGTACTTGCAGTAGCAATGTTAAATGATGATCCCTGTTTGAATCCAGTGTTACAAGGAAAGACCAGTTTGAAATTGGATTTGATTCTGGACACAGGAGAGGAGCGTAATTTGTAACATGCTGTGTTATTACCCCAAACTAAACTAAGAGGCAGCAGAATGGATTCATTGGCATATACTTCAATTTTTGTTTAAAATGTATGGAGTACTAGAAAATAGCTCATTTACTTGTGTCTTAAGTTCTCCAAGCTTTCCTGGAAAAAAAAAAAAATATATATATATAAAATGTATGTATATATTTATGTATTTTTTCATTCCTGGGCTTGGTTGGTGGTTGGTGACAGATGTGACTTGTGTTCTAGTAAGCAGGGGGGCTTTTTTAGATGTAATATTTCTTACACGCAGAATCAGTTGGAAGCTAAACATAGGAAGAACTATTTGAGTAGGTACATACCTCCTTAAATTTGGGCCTATGCACATGCATGAAAATTAAGTCTTTTCAGGACCTCATAAAAGCAGTGAGATGAGACACAGGGTTAAATACTGTGGTTCATCCTGGAAAGTCTGTGAATGCCTAGTATTTTTCGGTAAATACTGTTCTACTGACCTTCCCACGCCTGCCCCCTTAACAAGTTTAGCATCCACCCATTCCCTGTGTTTCTGAAGCGTAGCCTTGTGGCATGAGTGTCTTGCTGCTGTTTGTAAAGGTATATGCTCCGCAATCCTAGCGTCCCTTTTGGAGAGCAGGTAGTTAGTCATGTCGTAGCTAGGTGTCATTAATTATTTGCTGTCTATGTAAAGCACTCTCCAATTATACCACCAGGTACCTGTTGTTAAGCTACATTTATCTTTGCCTTCATTGTGCTTTTTCCGTAGCAAATTCCCTTGCATCCTCAGAGTTGCCATTTGTTCCCTGATGCCTGTTTTACAATCTCCTGTCCTGATTTTTCCTGAGCATCTTTGTATCATAAGTAATAGTACTCCTCCACTTCCCATTCCTCTCCCTGACTGTGTGGCCATAGCTGCAACTGTAAAGAAAGCCAGTGGGACATGCAGTTTAAGAAAGACTCTATTTGTTTTTTTAGGGGAATCTTCATTTCCTAAAACATTAATTGCAATGTTGTCTTTATAAATCTTGTTCTCTTTTCCCATAGGATTTGCAAATTGAACGAGAGAGGACCGTGTATAATATTTCTGGCGGCTGCACAGCCCTTGTGGTGGTGTATTTATTGGGGAAGCTTTACGTGGCAAATGCTGGTGATAGCAGGTGAGTAAGCGTGGTGTCTCCCCAACTATTCCTTCATCCCAAACTCCCCAGATCTGGTGTTACCAACTTCCTTAGTTGCAAACAGTATCACAAGAGGATTCTGTTTCTTTAACGGTCCTCACAGAAATTAATGCAAATGGCACTGATAGGCTTCCAGTATCTAGTTGAGTGGTGGATGCAGACAGGGAGGTTGATGACACTTCTGTCCCTGTAGCAGTTTCTGAATGACTTGATGGTTGCAGAGAAGTGGAAAGACGCTAAAGAGCCATTGAAACAGAAGTGATGTTGGGTGTGTAGTAGAACTGTGTGTTGAACACTGGCAAGGTGACTGCATCTGGAACAGCTGGTAGGGCTGGACTGGTTCAGTAGGAAGTCCTGTGGCTCCTGTCCTCAGCCTTAGTCTTGGAAGGCCACCTGCCTCTCAGATTTTGAAATAAATGAAGGTAATCATCTGTAAGCAAATAACTGCTACTCCTGCAACAGAGAGGAGGGGAGGGAGAGGGGCTATCACAGGTTAGGATTTTTACAGTGTCCTGTTCTAGCTTGTGTACTTGTCCATTTCTCAGAACTGAATGCTGTTGTTCAGGGGTTGTTGCTTTGTTCTGTTTAGAAGTTGGATGCTTGAAGAGTTGTGATGAGAAGCATTTTCTTTGTCTTCTGATTTAGCTAAAGCTAGGAGCATACTGGTAATGTTACTTGCATTTTTTTCCTCTCTCTCACTCTCTGCCTGTAACACCATCAGAGAGAGATAATGAGGCTGGTCTTGCAAGACTTTAGACCTTCACATGTTTCTTTTGGCAGTGCTCTGCATAAACAGGCCAGGGAGAATAGTTCCCCGCATGATAGACTGCTGTTGTGTTCTCTTAGCAGCTGAGAAATTAAAGTCTGCAAAGGTACTGAACCACGTTGTCTTTAGGTGAAGACTGCTACAGTTATGCATTTATGTTTGAGGTTTGTGCGCACACAGTTCATGTTTGTACTGTATGTGCACAATGTATTTACAGAGACAGCAGTCAACCACAAAACGTTTTGTAGTTTAAACCTAACATTTTTATTGCCTCTTGCTGCTTTAAACTGTGTAGAAAGTCAGATAAATCTTTGTGCATAAAGTTCCTGTTCTTTTCATGTTGGTGATTGTTCTTAGTATGCTGAACTTGCTATTTATATTGCAAATTGCTCACCCAATTCCTCTTGACAAGTGACATATATGAATCTTTTTCACATCAAATGTCAAATGAGTCCTCACGGAGGGTAGCTGCAAACATGGTTGAGTAGACCACCTATCTAGTCATCAGAACCAGAACCACTAGCTGCGCTAAATTTTAGCTCTTTTGCCATTAAATTAGAAATAATCATGTTTTCCTGTGCTATTGTACTTGAAGCACAGTTGAGTCTCTTCCATCGGGTTGGCTAAATTGTTTTATTGTCTCTTAAGTGTGCTGTGTAAAATTGGCCATGCAGGACGTACTTCTGAGTAGTTGAGATCTTTGTTCTTAAATGACTGGCTGCTTCCAGTTCCCCCAGGATTCCTCCTCTGCTTCCCGAGAGCAGCCTCAGCTCCATTGCAGCCTCTGTCACCCAACGGGAAGAAATTCATTGTCAGTGATCTTGAATTAGCCCAAGCGTCCGCTGTAGTTAAAGCCACCAAGTCTTCAAGAGGCTTTGAATGTTCATCAAGCCCATCAAAAACATCTCTTCAGAAAAACAGGAAGAGCAAGAATTAGAAGGGAAGCCATTGGCAAGGCTGGGTCTTGTTTGAACTAGGACTCAAAATTTTTCTACTCATTCCTCGCATCTTGTAGGTAATAGCGTCCCTCCAGATCCAAAATAGTTTGGTTTTGCACTTTCTAAATGGACCTCATGGAAACCTTCCTCATGCTGAGGAGAATTCTCTGGATTCCCAAAATCTTTCACGTTCAAATAATCCCATTTCTAGATTTTCGTAGCTCAATAAAATAAAAGGTTTAAAGTGCAGAAGATCAGTTGATCTGGGCCTCTCTCCCACCAAATCCCCACTTCCCATGTTTCAGAAAGGGAGAAAAACAGCTACTGCAAAACATCTAAGTTGCTCCTCATCACTAAAAGGACATTTTAGGACTAGAAAATGAGCTCTGAGGTTGTCCGCCAACTGCCAGGGTGCACAGCGCATTCCTGTATTTTTAAGAGCCCAGTCACATAGCCAAGAAGTTTTATTTGTGTTAGTTGGAAAAATATATTCCTTTTTGCTGTCTCATGCCTTGCGTGGTGAACTTCACTGTTTGTACAGATACAAATGAGGGGGATGAGAAATACAATAAGGAAACTACTTTTAAAAAAAAAAGTTTGTCTGCTCTTGAAGAAGGGTGGGGTTTGTTTTTTCACCCAAACAGGGGACTTGTGCTTGTTGCTGTTGGAACTAGATGCCGAAACCCTCAGTTCTTCAGTTGAGCTTTAGTTTGTTTGAGTTCACCTACTCATTTGTGCCTCTTCTCTGTCCGCACTCTCCTTCTCTCCTCTGCGCTCCCCCACTGGAAAAAGCCTACAAATAAATCAAGCTACATTTCCCACAGACGAGTCTGTGAGAGGAGGTTTTGTGCTGGAGGGGTGGGAAATAAACATTTGGGGTTCATGCAAGCCTGATTTGTACTGCCTTGCCCAGAAGAAGGTTAGGTCTTTTAATTCCAGGCAACTTCAAAACAGCAGAAGCTTTTGAAGGTGGGTTTTGAACAGCTTCTGCTGTCACAAGACCAAGGTATGTGCAACAAACTGTTACTATCACAGTGAGACTAAGGAAACGACAAAGTGTGAGACTTGAATAATAATGTGCTATGCAGTGCCATCTATACCTCAGACTTACGTCTGTGGTATTCAGTTTAACCACCAAAGCCTCTCAAATCTGATCATTTCATGCCATGTACCCTGGCAGTGTTGTATAGCAGCTGTCCTTTTGTAGTTGATGTGTAATTACATCATGAAAAGACTTTAATTACCATATTACTAAATTACCAGCCAGCAATCCTTTCAGGTTCAGCCCTAGCTCACTTCTGTATGGGCTATTAGGCTTCTCCAAGCTGAACACTTCTGGTTGGTGTAAAAGGGAGGAAAAATTGTACTAATTGTAGGTTTTGTTATGAACTATTATTGAGCTTGATGTTATGGCATCACTAATGTCAATGATATAATTAAACTTCTGCTAACGATGCAATCACAGTTCTGTAATAATTATACATTAACTGCACATGATACCAGAACCGTACTAAAAATGAGGTGACGTATTCAGAGCCTGATAAAAACAACTTGGAGGGAGCTGCTTTCATTCTCTAATGGCTTGTCTGATCATTCTTGGACTCTGCCATAAATATACCTACTTGTACAGTCAAAATTCATGCCTGAATATTGGCCAGAGCTTTTTCTAATGTTTCTCTCTCTTTCTTCCTCTCAGAGGTTAGGATTGTCCATGAAAGGTTATCTAATTAAGGACTGATAGTGCTATAGTCAGCTATTCAATATATAGTGCTTTTCTGGTGAGCATTGATGTGCTGTGCTTTGCTTACCAGTTTGACATATACACTATGGTAACTAGGCCAGGCCCTCTGAATAGCTGCCGTTTTTTAATAAGGAATAGGGTCTTCTCTGCTCATTCTTTTAAATAGTATTGTTCAATTTTATGTTGCTAAAGTGACTTTTACTTCTAAACTGCCATAACACGCCTTGTTAATCTCAGTTCTTTCTAGCTTTATACTCTTTATTAGGATGTTGTTTTATAGCTAGTGATGAAGCAGTAGTAAAACAGGGACTTAATGTTTTTACTGATTACTGCCCAATTATTGTATAGCCTCATGCAACATAACATTTGCCCAACATCACTACAGTGACTGTAATGCAATATGATCGTATTAACTATCTTGGGCATGAGTGTTCTTCTGGCTTTCGTGTTGTCTGGCTAAGGAGCTGCTCGGAGACTGCAGGCACTGCCATTTTGTGCTGTGCTTAAAGCCATGTAGGGTAGCTGTGCTATTATCATTATGCGAGAAGCAGAACACCACAAGTTGATTTGACTTTTCCACAGGCCCTGAAACTCTCACTAAATCTGCAAATGGGTTCTTGGGGTTTTTTGATTTATTGGCAGAAGATGGGATCAAAGCAAAGAGCCTGATGTTTCAGAGGCTTCACAGACTTGCAGGGTCACTGGATTTTTTGCTTTGCTTCATCAGCTTTTTTAATCATCTTTTTGCTTCCTTGCTTTTGCTTCCCTGTGCTTATGTTTTCAGGGCATATTCACCCTCTGCTTGAACATATATCCTCATGTCCAGAATAGATTTTCTCCTTTTTGCAAGTGTAGAATTAATGCTAAGCCATTTGGTATTGTTAAATGATAGGAGCTCATTGAGTGAGTGTTTTTTGTGGTGCTTCCATCTGGGTGCAGGTTAAGCAACTTCATTGGTGCTTCAGGTGCCCAGATGTGGGAGAGTGTGTTTATAACACCGACTTCTCCCAGTGTAATAAAATAGTGAATTGAAAATTGAATTCTACTTTGTTTACAGTTTCAGTTCTTTCCAGATTTGCTGCTTGTGTTGAATCTCACTACATTTATAGTTCCTCTTCTTCTGTGTCATGGTGCTTGTCAACTGCTTCCCTCCATGCATAGTTCTCATCATAGGAAGTCAAATTTGGGGGATTAATCTGCTTTTATGAAGTAAATGAGAGGGGCATGGATACAGCCACGTATCTGCTGACTGGCACTGTAGCTTAAATAGAATTTCTGAGAAGTCTGAATTGATGATTCTGACCATTTTTGTGGTTCATGGTATCTGACCTCTTCCTCAAGGCAGTCCAGTAGGGTGATTTTTGCCAGAAGCTCTAACACTGTGTAAGGATGGAAACCAAAAAGTTTGCTTTAGTCTTTGGTTTACAGTATTTTTAACAAACTTTAATTTTCTGATTTTCTTAACTACCCATCTTCTAATCTAAATGGTGTATATTTTCCCTGTTTTGCTTGAGTGGTCTGCCTAAGCCTTCTG